TGCTAGTACCCTGGTAGGTATAATTTTTTAATCCAGGTATCCAATTCCAGGTGCTTATTATGTGATTATCCCCATTTTACATATAAAAAATTGTAAGTTCGGCTGGGCTCTGGTGGCTCATGCCTGAATCCTAGCTACTCGGGAAGCTGAGATGGGAGGATCACAGTTCAAAGCCATCTTTGGCAGGAAAATCCATGAGGCTTTTACTTTCAATTAATCACCAGAAACCAGGAAGTGGCCCCATCCATGGCTAAAGTGGTAGAGCGCTGGCCCAGAGCAAAAGAGCGCAGGGACAGCACCCAGACCCTGAGTTCAAGCCCCACGACGACCACCACCACCACCACCAACAAAATAAATGAAGTTCAGACAGAGTAAGTAACCCCCCCCCCCAAGATCACACAGTGACAACGGGCAAAGGCTGCCTCAAATCCTCTTGGGAAATGAGGTCATACAGGAACAAATGGGCATGAAATTCAGGGGTGAAGTGGATCCTCATCTTATGAAATCCAAATGGTCTCAAAGCTTTCGAGATGGCTCCAGCCTGAGGACCCCCAAGCATGACAGACTCGTTGGGTGAGCAGCATTCATAAGGCGCAGTGCCACCATTCAAAACTGCTAAAGGGAGGCCCTGCTCCTTTTGGACAAAAAAATGCTGCCTGAGGTGCTTTTGAACCTTGGTATTACCAATGGTTCACTCTTCAGAGAAAAGGAATGCCTTTCCTCCTCCAGAGCTACGCAGAGAAGCCCAGACACCACTCAGCCTTACGCCCAGGGGCCTCCCCTGGAATGAAATCCCAACACAGACAAATGGTCAGGGGAAGTCTATGGCCTTGGAAGAATGCCAGAGTAGATGGAGTGAAGCTCTGGGTGACCCTGCCCTGTTGAGCCTGGTGCCTGGCAGCCTGGCAGCGCCCATGTCTGGGAAGGGTCTCCTGGAATGGAGGAACAGGACATCTAGGTGAGGGCGAGGGGACGGCCGCTCTTCCTGCTGCTCCCGCCAGCATCAACCCAAGTGACACAGAACCTGAGGAGAGGAAAGTGTCTTTTTTTCTGGGCTCCATCTCCGGAAATCCGCTTATTGCCTTTCCTCTACCCCTTCCCCAGGAGTCAATCTGCTTATGTTCCTGGGGCATAGAGACCAGGATTCCTGAGCATAGTACAAGAGACCTTATTAAAAGCAAAAGGCTCGAGGACAGGGGCTGGCAGAGCCTGAGCAGACAGGCCAAACAAACAGCAGCCCTGGACATGGCTAGAGCCTCTGGCTCTACCTCAACGCCGCCTCACTCTGAGGTTTCCCAGGCTGGGCCTTTGCAGGGTCCTGCCCTAGTTCTGGCTTTGTTCTACTTTTCTGAAACAGATGAAAAGAAAGAATTCAAGAGTTGGAGAGAAGTATAAACCCAGAGGAAGGGCATACACATTCAGGAACTTTTTTTTTTAAGTCAGTAGTTTAGAGCCAAGAGTATTTTCACCCAAAGAGTATATTCCCAAGAGTATATTCACCCAAAACTGTGGACGGCTTGGTCCACAAGATAAAGCAAGACCTTGGTGTTTAGATGCTACTGTTCCTTCCCTCCCTCTCCCTCTCTCTTTGTCCCCTTCCTCTTTCTCTTCCACCCTCCCCTCCTTTCTCCCCCTCTCAGTCTTTCTCTCATTGTCTCCTTCTCTCTCTGTAAGACTTATCATACAGCCTATACTGACGTGGAGCTCCCAAGTGCTGGGGGCACAGATGTGCATCCCACTGCCAGAACACAGTCCACACAATAGGAATCCATTTGCAGAAAGTTCAGACTTAGACTAAAGTCCCCCTGTGTAAACAGCTGTGTAAAGAGCTGTTTGCCCCCCGTGGGGGGTGGAGCAGAAGTGGCAAGAGGGGCTTTGGGATGCCTGCTGACATTATATTTATATATGTGTGCCAGGCACAGGAGTATGTTCACTGTGATCATGCAAGTCACCATACACTTAATAATTTGTGTGATTATTGTAGAAATTTTATGCATCAAAAATGATTTTTAAAAATTCCTCTCTGAAAAATTAGGACAGAACAATGGAAGGGGTGACATTGTCCAAAAAGAAATTTACTTGTTTCCTGACTTATGTAACTGTAACCCCTCTGTATGTTACCTTTATAATAACAATAAATGAATAAAAATTTATTTTAAACAATCTTTCTGTGGTCAGAAAATAACTTATACTTCTTGCTGTTTGCAAAACTGAATCTATATACATTGGGCCAGAGCCATGAAAAACAAACAAATAAATAAAACCCAACCAAGAGACCCCTGAGTCTATTTTTTCATCTTAAACAGTTTTCACAGCTTTCAAATTCAATGAGAGGTTTCTTTGGGCAGAATGTCACTGGTTTTCAGGGCCTAATCAGATCTTCCTCTGCACTGGTGGATCGCTGGCTGGGCCATTTCTGCCTGTGGTCCCAGAGTGGGGAGGACAAAGTGAGTCTCAGACCTCCCAGGTCTGACCCAGGAGAACTCAGGGGAAGTCAGGAAACTTTCTCCAGATTATACAACAGAGCCGCTGGTGGGAGGCCTGCTTCTCTCAGTCCAAGGCTATCACTTTCCACCACATCTCCTCCCACAGGGACCAATTAATAAACATTCTGCTTTGAGGCACTGAGAACCTCACTGGTCATTCTTTACATGCTCAGAACACACAGGAGTTTACTGAATCCTCAACAGGAAACAGTTTCTCTTGGAGAGCTGAGGAGGGGGGGGAATTGGGGGGGAAGGAGGTGCTGAGTTTGTAATAGGGCATTGCGACACCAACCTGCACAAGGTGGAACTGACCAAACACTGAACCGAACACTGGCTGCATAAATGGACTCACTCAACGTGAAGAAACCAACAACAAAAAAAGTTGTATAAATAGTCTAAGGGGAGACCTCACAACCTTGATTACATTGATTCTTTCTTTGTTGTTTTGTTTTGTTCATCCTGGGGCTTGAACTCAGGGCCTAAGCACTGTCCCTGAACTTTTGTCACACCTTGTGTCACTTGAGTCACATCTCTACTTCCGGCTTCTTGGTGGTTAATTGGAGATAGGAGTCTTACACACTTTTCAGGCCAGATTGGCTTTGAACTGCAATCCTCAGATCTCAGCTTCCTGAGTAGCTAAGATTACAAGTATGAGCCACCAGCACCCAGCCCTGAATAATTTTTAAAAGTTCTTTCTTCATTTTCTTTTTTTAGGATGTAGCTAAAAATAAAGGCTTGAAACTTGAAATATTGTAAGCAAATAAACACACACACACACACACACACACACTGAGGTTTTCCCATATATGGCCACCTTACTCTTCGGCCTTTGAGAAAGCCAAACGAAGAGAGGGCCCAACACCCAGACCATCTTTCCCATAGCTGCAGTGAGGAGGAAGGACACTGAAGAGTTGGTGAATGAGGAAGAGCTGCTGCAGGATTAGTTGCCATGGTGCTCTAGGAGCGCGGGCATACGCATCTGACTTGGGCCTCTTCTCTAAAGAGGCTGCGCTGCCCTTAGCACAGAGAAAGCCACAACTACAGCGATTCCACATAAAGGATTTAAAGGAGGAAACCAGTGCAGAAGCATGACTGAAAACTCAATGAAGGCCCTTCTCAGTATTAAATCTGTAAAAGAGATGAGGGCACAGCTCAAGGCCACTGGTGGGGAGGGAGGAGGGGAAGAGCATGGGAAAGATGTGAACGAGACACCAGGGCATAAATAACAGAGGTCAAACCCCAGAGGACAGCAGCTTTGTGAAAACTGGCTAGGCTAGAGTCTGTGGGTGCTATGAGAAGTTTGTCTATGGCAAAGACTGGCATTCTCCTATCAAGTGAATGCCACTTATGTGAAATGGGGCAATCCATACTTCCTGTGTCAGATACATGCTGGACATGAGGAGAACACCTGATCTCACTGGCTCTTCAGTGGCGGCCTGGAGGCTGAAGAACCCAGCACAGGTCTACGTGGTGGTGTGGGGTGAGCGCGCTGAGGAGGGCAGGGAAGCCAAGGCTTTGGAGGGGAGGCCAGGGCTCTTTCTGCTTCCAAAGTCTTGGGAGAACACTGGCTGGGTGGGAAAGTTTGGGGTTAGGTTGCCACTCATTCTCTCACTCTCCTATGACCCCCATCTCCCCTCTGCTCCCTGACAGGAGGGGGCAGTAGACAGCAGGAGACCTACCAGGACCTTGGGAGTAGAGTCTCTCCTCCTACCTGAGAGACAGGTGGGTGCAGCTCAGTGGTACAGCAAGTACATAGAAAGCACATCACCCTGGGCTCCATCCTGCCATCCAAAGACAACTGCCAAGTAGAACTACTGTGCGCTGAAAATGGGCAGCCTTTGCATCATGGGCTGTAAAAGTCTGACTGGAAAACCTCTCCATTCAGTGACTACTACTGAAGAGGCAGCATGAGCTCATCCCAGCCCTTCTCTTCCCCTCCCCGAGCAGCTGGCCTTCCTCACAAGGATCCAAACTCTAGTTCTAAAAACACTCCTCCATGTGCTTGCTCCTAAACTCCTCCTATTTGGGTAGAGTCAATAATAATAATAGCAAACAACAGAAACATAAGCACAGACCCCAATTCCTGCTGCAGTTGTGTCCCATCAATCACCATCCCCAGTCTTCACACCCACCAGATGAAGTCTGTCTGATTTACAGACAAGAGAACTGAGGCCCTAGATGCTGTGGGACTCAATTAGGCAAGGCCATCTTAACAAAGGCAGGGTGGAGATAATTTTCCAGCTGGCAGATTCCAAGCCTGTTCCCTCTTTCTTCATGCCACAGTGAAGTCTCAGTCAGCATGCTTGGTTTGGTTCACCATGCACTGGCAACCACTTCCTGTTTGTGACTTCCACCCTCCACATCCCACAGAACCTTCCAGGCGGTCACAGGGTTCCCCACTGAGAGCCCGGCTGTGGGGGAAGCAGGCAGGGTGGACAGGACAGTCACCCCAGACCAACCCCAACATAGGCGGGATCAGACCCAGGATGGTGGCCTTGTCTCCACACCACTCACCTGGTGAGGCACGAGTCCCAGAGAGGTGGGGGGCTCACTCATGCGGTCATCACTGCTGCTGGCGATGGCGTAGCCCCTGCAGAAGGGAGGAACTAGAGCTGTTCAGTCCATCAGTGTTAACGGGGAACACACATGAGGACTGTCTGGAGGGCGCCAGTCAGGGCGCGGAGGAAGTCCAAAATGCTTTTGCTGGGCACCTACACTAGCCAAAAGTGCACTTCTCTGGGAGGGGAGTAATAAAAATGCATGGCAATGAACCTGTCTTGTTCTTCAAATAGTCCATTTATTTATTTTTTATGCCAATCCTGGGCTTGAACTCAGGGCCTGGACACTGTCCCTAAGCCTTTTTTTCTCAAGGATAGCACTCTGCCATTTGAGCAACAGTTGTACTTCCTCCAGCTTTCTGGTGAGTAATTCGAGATAAGAGTCTTGTAGACTCTTTTTTTTTGGTCGGTCGTGGGGCTTGAACTCTGGGCCTGTGCACTGTCCCTCAGCTCTTCAGCTCAAGGCTAGCGCTCTACCACTTGAGCTACAGCGCCACTTCCGGTTTTCTGGTGGTTTATTGGAGATAGGAGTCTCACGGTCTCTCCTGCCTGGGCCGGCTTTGAACCGCGATCCTCAGATCTCAGCCTCCTGAATAGCTAGGATTACAGGTGTGAGCCACCAGCGCCCGGCTTGTAGACTCTTATGGGATGGCTTTGAAGTGTGATCCCCAGATCTCACCCTCTAGAGTAGCTGGGATTACAGGTGTGAGCCACTGACACCCAGCTTCAGATAGTCTTAAAGAATACCACAAGCACATTTTATATTGAAATTTTCAAATAGAAAACTTTCATTTCTTTCCCTTTCCCATTTCCTTCTTCCCTCCCCTCCCCTCCTTTTTTCTTCTGCAGACACAGGTTCCCATTACATTTTCCAGGTGGGCCTCAAACCCTTAGTCTCAAGAGATACTCCCAGGTCAGTGCCCCAAGTAACTGAGACTATAGGTGAACACCACCATGTCCAGTTCTAACGTTAACCTCCTGAATCAAATCAATGCTACAGAAATGGAGGAAAGAGAAATAATGGTGTGATACTTAGCCACAGAAGCAAGGCAACACAGCATCTCTGAAAACCAGACAATGGGCTAAACTGAATGTCACTGGAGGAGGGCAACCCAGGGAGAGACAGATTATTTAAAAGTAAATTTGAGGACACTGCTGGGGCCATTCCCAACATCCATTGTCCTCTTGCAGCTTCTGACAGTTCTATTCACAGGGGCGGCATGCCTAAACCAAACCTATACTTGCCAGTATTTCCTTGCAGAGTTACAATCACTGGGTAAGTTTTTCAGGAATGCTTTTTAAAAGGACGCAGATGCAGATTGCTACAAATTTTACCCTCTGGTTATTTCTTCCTTCTAAAATGTCATGCACAGCAGTGCAGATGGCACAGCAGTCACCTTGCATCCACAAGGTGACAGCCATAAGGAGGAAAAGCTAAGAGTGACTGAGTGAGACAGACTCAAGCCAGTGCTGGTGACTCACATCTATAGTCCTAGTTATTCAAGAGACTGAGATCCAAAGGATCCTGGTTCCAACACTTCAGGGGTAGAAAAATCCATGAGACTCCTTCTCCAAAATCACCAGCAAAAAGCAGGGCTGGGCTGGAGGTGAGGCTCAGTGGAAAAGCATCAGCCCAGCAAGCAAGCTGAGCAAGCATACAGCCTTGAGTTCAAGCCCCAATACAACCAAAAAGTAAAATTAAATAAAAAAGAGGGAACTCAATTCCCTGATGGCATAATGGGCTGCTTACAGGGCTGTGAAATAATGACAAAGGCTTGTCTTCCTAAGTCACGGAACACAGACCTCTGTCATGTCATACAGTTTCTAACATTAGTGATCATGCATGTTCTTATCAATGACAGAGCTAGGAAAATAAAAACAAAAGTAAAGTATAAAGGTCCTCAAGTCCCCAAAAATGTTTCTTTCTTCAACTGCCAGACTCTAGGAGAATATAAAAAGGTTGCAGGGATAAACCCTAAAGATCCCATAGCAATTTCTCACTGGTTAAAGAACTAGATTAGATTTTTTTTCTCCCGGTTACGGGGCTTGAACTCTGGGCCTGGGCGCTGTCCCTTAAGCTTTCAGCTCAAGGTTAGCATTCTACCACTTGAGCCACAGGGCCACTTCTGATTTTCTGGTGGTTTATTGGAGGTAAGAGTCTCATGGACTTTCCTGCCTGACTGGCTTTAAACCATGATCCTCAGATCTCAGCCTCCTGAGTAGCTAGTATTACAGGTGTGAGCCACTGGCATCTGGCTTTTTTTCTTTTTCTCTTTTGGTGACAGTCCTGAGTCTTGAATTCCGGACCTGGATACTGTCATTGAGCTTTTGTGTTCAAGGCTAGGGCTCTACCATTTGAGCCATAGCTCCACTTCTGGCTTTTTGGCAGTTTGCTGGAGATAAAAGTCTCATGGGCTTTCCTGTCTGGGCTGGCTTCAAACTGTGATCCTCAGATCTAAGCACCTTAAGTAGCAAGGTTTATAGGTGTGAGCCACTGGTGCCTTGCTTCTTAGTCATTTTTGAATATAGAAGAGCAGCAAAACTCTCAGAAGAGTCCAACTGAGAAAAGGCCAGTGGAGACACTGACAATAAAAGCTCTCTTTGTCTAAATGCCCATTTCTGAGTAGCCAACTCACCCTTCTGGATGCTGCAGGACAGAAACCATCAGCTCCACTGCCAGTGCTCCTGCAATCGTGGCCAGGCCTGGACGACTCACAGTGCACTGCTGGTCCAAGGTCCGGTCTCTGGTTGACTGCAGAAGATACAATCACTGAGCTGTGCTGCATGTCTAGTCCCTAGCCCTAGCTCTGAGCCTGAAACTCCTCCACGATGAAGTTTTAAAAGACAACAGATGCTCACTGTTGGCAAGGAACAACCAGCCTCAAACACTATCATTTCTTAGGAGGATCAAGATGAATAAAATACCCAGTCTCAGTAATTAAATGAGGCAACAGGCTGAAAAGGATATAAGTAGGTTAAGCGATCTAAAACCGGAAAATATCAACCAGGTGCCTCAATTCTGCCCTGCCATTCTAACTGAAGTAACCCCTCAGCGTGGCCTGCCAGGATCTGATACTTGCAGTCCTCGGTTCCCATGTGCTTCTCCCAGTGTGGACACCTCACCACACTGGCTTTGATTCAAGGGCTTCACTGCAAATGCCTCTGCTACAGACCGGCTTCGCGGGATCGACCTAAGAAATCCTAACCTTCCACCTCTGAACAAAGGCAGAGGTTGTCAGGGAAAGCTATGACTGAAAACTCTGCTGTAAGAACAGACATCACGACTGCAATGGACCCTTGTGCAGTTACTGCCCCTGTGCAGTAACTAAGTCACAGGGCCAGATGTGGATTTAAGTACATGAAGGAGATGATCAATCAGCCCCACCTCTCCCAGGAGGAAGGTTGGCTTTTTAAAAAATACGTACTGGGAAGACAAAAGCCAATCATCCAAAAAAAAGGTATGGTTTCTAAAGATCAAGTTTTAAGAGAATGGGGAAACAGGGAAGAACCATCTCTGCTCTGGATCTCTGGACTCGATGATGTCTCTGCTCAGTCCTGTGGGCTGGCAGGAGCACAGGCACAGAACTGGGCAATCATATGTCGGCACAGTAGGTCCTTGCTCTTCAATGCACTTTCACACTTGACCTACTTGGCCCTGTGAGTTGACAGGTCCAGTGTTCCCTCCTTTTCTAGGTCATCAGATAAAATAGAAGAGGTCAGTTAAAGATGGGTTTTACACAGTCAATTTTTTTAGTTCAGGACTTTTTTATTTTTTAAACTCTTATACATGGGGGTTACAATCTAACATGTCCAGTGCTTCTTGATTAGTCACCTCTTCCATTATTGTCCTCTGTCCTTTCTACCTCTTTTCCCCAGACTTACTTCTCATTTTCCACTTCCTTTATCACATGTGTACATTGAGAATTCTGGCTGTAGCTGTAGGACATACACTAAGAATGACTTCATGTTTGCTTGAGTCTCAAAGTCACCTAGCACCCTGCACCGTCACTAAATTTGAGACGCAGGTACTCTACTCCCACTTTGCAGAGCCAGAGGACAGAGACTACACAGAATGTCCTGGGAGGCAGTGTTGGGGACAGAACCAGAACCTGGGTATTTGGACTCTTCATGTTGAAGACAGCACAGGAGGCAAAGGACAGCCACCCAGAATCATCTAACTCTGCTGCCGTGTCCTCACTCAGTTGCCACCTCCCACGCTTGGCAGCTGCATTTTATTTTTTTTTTTTGTCGGTCGTGGGGCTTGAACTCTGGGCCTGGGCTCTGTCCCTCAGCTCTTCAGCTCAAGGCGAGCACTCTACCACTTGAGCTACAGCACCACTTCCGGTTTTCTGGTGGTTTATTGGAAATAGGAGTCTCACGGTCTCTCCTGCCCGGGCTGGCTTTGAACCACGATCCTCAGATCTCAGCCTCCTGAGTAGCTAGGATTACAGGCGTGAGCCACCAGCGCCCGGCTGGCAGCTGCATTTATATGAGTGAATAAGGAACAGCTGTAGAGTTGAGGATGCCAATCAAGCCTTGCAGTGTGATGATGCCATTCCCCACACTGGAGCATTCTCTTTGTTAAAAGACAGTATTTGAAAAGCAACAAAAGAGCTAGGTCTCTCTTGCTCAGTGCATAAGACACTGAAAGTATTTGGAACTGTAAAGAAATTCACTTACATCTCCCGGAGCCACCACATCATTGCAGAAATAGCAGCCGAGTTTGTAACCAGGGATGTTGGCAAAAAGTGAGGATCCAAGGAGGTCAGCAGATGCCCCAGGGTGTCCTGGGTACAAGTCCCCGGCTCCCTGCTGCTTTGGTTTCTTCAGGCCATGTCTCATGACAACAAATGTGTCAAAGCCCAAGGCAGCATTGATGACCAGCTGCAGATTTCAAGTAATAAAAGAAGAGAGTTAAGAAAAACTCACTCCAAGCCATGGGTAATTTCCTAGTTGGTTAACTTTTTTTTTTTTTTGGTCAGCCATGGGCCATGAACTCTAGGCCAGGGCGCTGTCCCTGAACTCTTTTTTTTTTTTGTCCCTGAACTCTTTAGTTCAAGGTGAGCACTCTACCACTTGAGCCACAGTGCCACTTCCGGTTTTCTGGTGGTTAACTGGAGTTAGAAATCTCATGGACTTTCCAGCTGGGGCTGGCTTTGAACTGCAATCCTCAGATCTCAGCCTCCTGAGTAGCTAGGATTATAGGTGTGAGCCACTGGCGCCTGGCTATTTGGTTAACTTTCAAAGTTAACTTTTTTGCCTGTGAGTGTAACTAGAGTCTAATACTAATACTGAACAAGGCTCTTCAGTACTGAGGGATTATAAAGTTAAAAAAATCAGACAAGTTGTCAACATAAACTGTCTCATTCATTTCATTTAAAACTCCCTTTTAGTCCGGTGCTGGTAATTCATACCTGTAATCCTAGCCATTTAGGAGGCTAAGATGGAAAGGATCTTGGTTGAGGCCAGCCAAGATTGGTTGCATACATGTGCAAAATCATTTGTGAATAAGTACCTGGGCACAGCAGCATGTACCTGGCACCCTGCCTATGAACTGACCTAGCCAAGGCAGAAGAGTCTGTGTGATCACATCTCAATGGAAGATGCTGAGCATGGTGGCACATGCCTGTCATTCCAGATCCAAAAGAAAGTATAAAACAGGCTGATCACAGTCTAGACACAAAGTAAGACCCTATCTCAGAATAAGCAGTGCAGAGGAGGGCACAGTGGTAGAGCACCTGCCCAACAAGTGTGAGCTGTGTTCAAACCCTAAAGACCTAAACTACAACAACAAACAAACCAAACAACCCTAAACTATAACGAAATTCCCTGAGAATATCACCTATTTATAGATGAGGCTCCTGAAAGCCAGAAAGGTTCATTTTTTAGATGGCCCATAGTCACTTAGCTTCTAAGAGTAAGCATACACTTGCAACACATATTCATTGCTGCATTATTATTTGCCAACTTAGGCAAACAGTCTAGATGCTCTACAATAGATGAGCAGATCAAGGAAATGTGGAACATATATATAATGGAATTTCCTCATCCATCAGAAAGAGTACTATTATGTCATTTGCAGGAAAAAGGATGGACCTAGAACAAATCATGTTAAGTATAGTAAGCCAGGTCAGAGAGACAAACAGTGTATGTTTCTCCTATATGTGGAAGCTAGATCTACAATACAACTAAATGTACTAATTTATACAGAGCCTTATGCATTTATCCCCAGACAAACTGACTAAAGGAGGGTATACGTAGGGGAGGAATCCAAAGACCTAACTCCTCTGAACATCTAAAGTACAATTTATCAAAACGAATTCCAAGACATGGAAACATGGGTTTTTTTGTTGTTGTTTTAACTTGCTTTGCTTTCCTTTTTCTTGAAGGGTGGGCCAAGAGGGGTGTACAGGGATGGAGGGAGGAAAGGTGAGCAAATGCAGTCATTGTATTCAACATATACTACATAAAAAATAAACTATGAACTTGTGGGTAGGGATAGGAGGGGGAAAAAGGGGAAAGTGAAGGAAGTGATGAAAACGTCCAAGAAGCATTGTACTCAGGATAACTCGACTTATGAAATTGTAACCCCTTGTACAACTCCTTAGAATAGTTTAATTTTTTTTTTTTTTACAAAAGGGTAAGTGTTGTGTTTGTTTTTTTCTTTTGAGGTCTTTGTTTTTCTCATTGTGAACATTGAATTTAAAATGGTAACATTCAATTTAACATGTAGTTTTAAATAAAGCTTGGCTTATCTGTTTAAAAAAAAAAGGTGGGCTGGGAATGTGGCTCAGTGGTAGAGTGCTTGCCTTGCATGCATGAGGCTCTGGGTTCAATTCCTCAGCACCACATAAGCAGAAGAAGCCAGAAGTGGCGCTGTGGCTCAAGTGATACAGTGTTAGCCTTGAGCTGAAGAGCTGAGGGACAGCACCCAGGCCCAGAGTTCAGGCGCTACAACCAACCCCCCCCCCGCCCCCCTTGCACACACACAAAGGTAAGTGTTAAGCCAGGCACTGGTGGCTCACACCTGTAATCCTAGCTACTGTGGAGGCTAAGATCAGAAGAAGCCAGCCCAGGCAGTAAAGTTGTGAGAAATGAACCCCCAGAAAAATGGAAGTGGAGCTGTGGCTCAAACTGGTAGAGCTCTAGCCTTGAGCTGGAGCTCAGGGACAGTGGCCAAGACCTGAGTTCAAGCCCTAAGTTCAAGCCCCATGACCAAAAAAAAAGGTAAGCGTGCAAAACTAAGTCTGCAAGTTCTCAAACTCGTTTCACTGCTGGTAACCTACATCATGTCCACAGTTGTAACAGCTTTGCTGAGATTTAATACACATACTGTATAATTTGTTCCTTACGTAGATTTTCTTTTTTTGAGTCAGGATCTTGCTATGACTTTCTCACCCATGAACTCATGATGCTCCTACCTTTGCCTCCCAAGTACTGGAAAGACCGGTATACATTAACGTAGACCAATACCACAGCACAGATTTGTTGATTGCAGTGCTGGAGTTTGAACTCAGGGCCTTGCACAAACTAGGAGGTGCTCTACTACTGAAATCACTCCTTCAGCCCTTTCTGCTTTAGTTATTTTTCAGGTGGGGGTCTCACTTTCCTTTCCTGGACTGTGATCCTTCTACTTCATTTCTGCACAGTAGGGATGAAAGGCATGCTACAGTGCCCACTGTGCCTGGTTTTCTTCATTGAGATGGATGGAGTCTGGCTAACTTTTATGCTCAGGCTGGCTGCAAATCAATCTCTGATACCAGGGAGCTAGGATTACAGACATGAGCCCTTGCTCCTGGTACCACATAGAGTTTTTTCTTTTAGTTCTGAGACTGAGACTTGAACTTCGTACCTGATGCTTTCACTCATTGTCTAGCACTTTACCAACTGAGCCATGCCTCCAACCCTATCAGACAGATTTTTTTAAAGACAAGATTTTTTTTTTCAGTTGTCATTTGTTATGCTCTTAGATTTGATGATATAGAAAGCTTTAAAGAAGAGGAAAAAAACACACTAGAAAACAAAGATAACTCATGAACCAAAGCTCGCATAGTTACCTGAACAGTTTGTGACATTTCTTCCTCCTGTTTTCTCCACTTGGGCCCCCTACCCTCCCTTGTCAGCCTTCTCCCTGGTCTAGTAGACACACAGACATAAATGTGTATATTTTCGTGTGTGTTTATATATAAATATAATTCATAGAAATGTAGATCATATCTTGTGTAACATAATATGGTATTTTCTGTATTATTAAAATGCTTTGGAAACTTAACAGTGAATGGCTGCATAGTAGTCTATCAGGCATGCAAATCATGACTTAGTTAACCATTCAGTACTGCTGGCCCTTGAATGTTAGAAAAATTCAACAGTAAACTATCCTGGGAGACAGTATGAGGCAGGGCCAGGTCCGGTAGAGCCCCCTTGGGTACAGTGGTCACACAGTACAAGGTTACGCAAGACTTTTCTTTCCGGGGGTCACCTCTCCATTTGGGGAGGAGGTGCATGAAGTTACAGCCAGAGGAGGAGCACCCAGGTTCCATACCCTACCTTCCTCTTGCTCGCGGCAATGACGGTAGGAAGCCACCGGCTCTCCCTTGTGTCCATCAACAAGAAGATGACGTCGTGGCTCTGGATGAGTTGCTCCAGCTGCTCCACATCCCTGCGGGCTTGCTCCAGGGTAACACTGGAGAAGTTCACAGGATGTCCTGGCATGGGGATGCTCATGCTGAACCCTCTGGCATTCTGGGAAAACAGGATATACTTAGGTCTGAAGGAGGGTGCACGTGAGATCTCAGAGGTTACGCTTCCTCACAGCTACAGCACTAAGGATGGCACTTAAAAGCAGAAATATCTCTGTGCACAATGCTACTGATTTCTTTTATCCTACCTATGCCCTCGGGAAAACTGAGACACTAAAACTTGAGCTATCTTTTGGTAGGAATGTGTTGTTGAAGAAGGAACCCAGGGACTTGCACATGCTGGGCAAGTGCTCTACCGTGGAGTTCCATCTCTAAAGGCTTTTGAGGCTGATGTTAAGAATGAGCCATAGCTGGGCGCCAGTGGCTCATACCTGTAATCCTAGCTACTTAGGAGGCTTAGATCTGAGGATTGCAGTTCAAAGCCAGCCCCATCTGGAAAGTCCATGAGACTCTTGTCTCCAATTAACCACTAGAAAACTGGAAGTGGTGCTGTGGCTCAAGTGGGTAGAGTGCTTGCCTTGAGCTGAAGAGCTCAGGGACAGCTCTTCAGGACCTGCCCAGAGTTCAAGCCCCCTGACTGACAAAAAAAAAAAAAAAGAGTGAGCCATGAGTGGGTGCTGATGAAGCCAGAGGCAGAGACTTTCCCCAGGGAAGGAAGTCCTCTTGGGTCATCAATGCACCCTTAGTTCCTTGCCTTCCTCTGGCCACAGAGAGGTATGAGGACATCAGCTTTCTCATTCACTTACCTGCTTGGGAAAAAAGCTCATGGGGCAGGGCAAGCGTGTTTTTTTTTTTGTTTGGTTGGTTGGTTTGGCTTGGTTTTTTGTTTTGTTTCTGGTAATTGGAGTTGAGTTTCATATATTTGTCTGCTTAGGGTAGCTCAAACCTTGATCTTCAGATCTCAGCCTCCTGAGTAGCTAGGATTACAGGCTTCTCTCTGATGAGGTATATTGAATAGGAGGAAGAAATTCTCCATTCCATGGAGGAGGAAATCAAGTTACAACTTGACCGTGGTGACAGAGTAGAAACCTAACACCTGAACTCTCTCTCTTTTTTTTGGGGGGGTCAGTTCGTGGGGCCTGAACTCTGGGTCTGGGCGCTGTCCCTCAGCTCTTCAGCTCAAGGCTAGCGCTCTACCACTTGAGCCACAGCGCCACTTCTGGCTTTTTTCTTTTTGCTTATGTGGTCCTAAGGAATCAAACCCAGGGCCTCAGGCATGCAAGGCAAGCGCTCTACCTCTGAGCCACCTTCCCAGCCCGGCAAGCGTGTTTTTTACAAAAGAAAATCTATCTTTACCAACTATAGACTTTTGTTTTTGGTCTGTGTGGGGCTCGAACTCAGGGCCTGGGCACTGACCCTGAGCTTTTTCTCTCCAAGGCTAGTGCTCAAAGTGTTGAGCCACAGTGCCACTTCTGGTTTTCTGGTGGTTCATTGGAGATTAGAGTCTCAGGGACTTTCCTGCCCAGGCTGGCTTTGAACTGTGATCCTCAGCTCTGTTAATGGCATCTGTTCCATTTTGGTGAAGCCCAGATTATCGGTGTTTGTTTGTTTGGGAGTCCTAAGTCCAGCCAAGACCTGTAGCTGGACCAGAAGCAATGTGCATACCCATGAGCACAGAATAAAATTTCCTGTCTGAAACTGGGGTTTGGGGACTTTGTGATTTGTGACAGCCGACAGCCATCATGGCTTCTCAATGTTGCTGTGTTCCTTCCCTGGGTAGCAGTGGGTTCTCAATCAATACTATTGAATTAAACCCAATAAATGCTGTCCCTTGGGAATACTGATAAAATGAACAAAGCCATCAACATTTTCTATAGCAAAGACTTCTGAAACAGATGGCTCAATGTTAGCTGGCTAAAGAGAGAGATGTCAGAAAAGCAGGCTTTCTCCTGGCTATGGCTGAGAGCCTCTTCTACATTTCTAAGAACAAGCCGATGCTCTGAAGATATCTCATCTGCCTCCTGCCAGACAAACTGATTAAGCATACAAGATGTAGGCTCATTCTGCTGAATGACCTCAAAACAACTCTCAAGATTTTGGATCAAATGAGGTGAATGACTTATTTCTTATTAGCTGGTGTTTCTACAATAAAGAGAATAAGTCAGAAATAAGAAGAGCTAGAGAAGAACCTTCCACTTCTACTCACTTTTTCTTCTTAGAGACACATGTATTCAATCTCATTTCTAAGCTAGTATTAAGCAAGCAGGCTGATGATTAAGGAAAATGAATATCCCATATCTGGGCTGTCACAAACACTTAAGAGCCAGGAGAGATCTGAGTCCAGGCATCCCTCCAGAAGCACTTCTCATACATTCATTTCATTTTCATCAGGTTTATGAGAGCTATATTTTGTTTTGCTTTTCCACTGCTGGGGATGGAACCCAGGGCCTTATGCATAATAGTCAAGTTCTCTACCACTGAGCAAACCCCTCCACCCCCTACCACTGAAATGAGGTACACAGCTTGACCACACGGTGAGTCTCGGGGGAGAAACGACCTATGTCTGATCACCCATCACCAATACAGGCGGAGGAAAAAACCTGTGGGTGTTCACCAAAGTGTCAACGTACCACTCCGGGGAATATTTTCTGGAGCCGGTCTGCTGCAGCCAGGGCCTTGGGCTTACCACCCCCTAGGCAGTCTTCAAATTCATAGAGAGGCTGTCTCACGGGATTAGAGTAGGAGATCTTGGCGTTGTCCACAAAGGTGACATGTCTGACACCCCAACCCTGCATGGAAACAAGAGACCATGATGTGCCTCTGCCCAACTTCTCACAGGGCATCTCTCTTGAAATCCCTGGAAAGGGTTTGGATTTTGAGCAGTTGGAGACCCATAAAATACAGGAAACATTAGGAATTGAATTGTGCAAATTCAGTTTTTGATACCCTGAATGTCAACCTCCTTTAAAAGATGAAATAATTATAAACTTAGAGCCTGGTTCCCTGAAGTAACGAGACTAAGACATGTCAGAGTGAGTCTATCTAGTAACTCATTATTTTTGACAGCAGCAGTGGAGAAACATTTGGAAATGAATCCCGAGAGCTTTGCATGTAGCTAACTGTCTTAAGAGGATTAGCAAGAGCCCCCAAAAGTCTGTGGTTGCTCTGAAATAATTAAGTCTAAATAACAACTCCTCTCAAAGATCATCTAAGGCCTCAATTAACTCTTCAGAAAAATGATTAATAACTCATTTCCCACTGTATAATAATGCAGAATATTCTGTAGTGTTTCTCCAAGAAGCCTTATTAATAACTGAATGATGGGGGTGGGGTAAGTCTGTGCTCTCATAAATCATTTTTATGATATTATATACTTCAATTATACCACCCATAAGGCTTTGTAAAAGCACACAGTTTTAAAGTTAGACAAGAATTGCTAAAATCTATACTCATGCTGGGCGCTGGTGGCTCATGCCTGTAATCCTAGCTACTCAGGAGGCTGAGACAGGAAAGACTGTGAGACTCCTATCTCCAATACACCACCAGAAAACCAGAAGTGGCACTGTAGCTCAAGTGGTAGAGTGCTCGCCTTGAGCTGAAGAGCTGAGGGACAGCGCCCAGGCCCAGAGTTCAAGGCCCATGACCAACAAAACAAAACAAAACAAAATCTATACTCATACTCTAATCACTTGTTCCACAGATATAAAAACTGACCCATAGGAACAATAGATGATCTGTCTAGAAATTACACATTGCACTAGGGGTGTGAGAATGAAACGTCCACAGCTGCACCTCCTTTACGGTGGGGATGTGCACTCCAGCAGATGAGAAATGAGCACCGGCTCCCTCTGAATCTGCAGTTAGCTAAGTGCGAATAGAGAAAGACTTGGGGCTATACTGAGCATTATCCCCTAAACATTATAGTACAACTATTTAGGCAGTGTCTATATCATATTAGGGTTCTACGTAGTCCAGAGCTTACTAAGGCTTGTAGAAGGCTATGCACAGGTTTTATGAAGCACTGTGTCATTTTAAAAAAGGGACTGGAGCAACAGGGGGTTGATACCCATGGAGGACCTAGAACCAGCATGGCAGATACCAAGGGACACTGGTACAGTGATGGAAGGAAAGCCCTGCTAAGACTATTTACTAAGCTAAGACTGCCCTCTCTTGCTTCAGTGCCTTTCCCTCAGCACTTACGAGACTCAGATGGTTTCAAGGGGGGGAGTCAATGAAGACTCCAGATTAGTTTCTAGGGTTGGAGATGACAGACTACACCCCATCTTTTCATAGTCTTCTTGTGTGACTTTTTGGTCCACTCACCCTATTTCAGCAGCTAAGCAAATTACCAAGGAGGATGAAAAAGTAGGAACCAAACCCAAAGTCACTTGTGCTAGATTTAGGGATATTTATTTCTGAAGTAGTTTGGCATTCTGGAGAAGAGCGCAGGGAAGGTGGTCTGGGAACATGATGGGCAGTGAGAAGAAGGGTAGATGTCCTGAACTAAGCCACAAGCTTAAGGTAGACATAAGCTTTCTATAGGTAGTGTGACATGATCTAGTTTTGTAAATACAAACAGATAAATAACAGCAAAGACAGGAAAGGTCCCTCTGTGTGTTTACACATGCCTGGGATAACAAGTGGGAATGTGAAAAGTCTGCTGAATTCTGGGAAATGGGCCTTGGGATGAGGGTGTGGAAGACTTTGTTTCTCCCTGACAAAATAAAATATAAGCACAGATTCTTGTTATAGTTAAAAGGATGAGAAGAAAGATAAAAGGAGCTGGGCTCTGGTGGCTTACACTAATCCTAGCTACTCAGGAGGCTGAGATCTGAGGATCACAGTTTGAAGCCAGCCTGGGCAGGAAAGTCCATGAGACTCTCATTTCCAATCAACTACTCAGGAAAGACTGGAAGTCATGCTGTAGCTCAAGTGGTAGAGCTCTAACCTTGAGCACAGAGAGAGAGGTTCAGGGATAAAGCCCAGGCTCTGAATTCAAGCCCCTTGACCAGCCAAAAAGAAAAAAGAAACGATAAAAGGAAGGGAAGAAGGGACATGGAACGCAGGAGAGGGAAAGAAAACATGTCCTGGGCTGGCCATAGTCTAAAAACCCCATGTGGCCTGAAAATTTACTTACCATCAGTGTCCTGGCCACATTACAACCCAAGGTACCGGCTCCCAGCAGCAGACATTTGACAGACACAACCTTGTCTAAGTCTAAGGTAGGGACCAATCTCCAACACATCAATTTGAGATTTAAATCCACTGATGACTCAGCCAACCTGAAAAATGAGAGATGAAAAATGAGAGATTTCTGTATTCACTCAGTTGACTCATTTGTGTTCCAAGTTTTTCCCAAAAGGTATCAGATGAAGCACAGGAGGAGAAGGAAAGGTCACCACACAGAATGGGTAGCTACTGAATACTCTGCATAGTGGTGGGCCACCAATATGACAGTGAGCTCCTAACAGCCAAGGTGAAAAGGGAAACTTGACTATTTCTAAGCTGTGGTATTCATGACCAAGAATACACCAAATAGGTAAGTTCTTCCATGTCCAAGTAATGAATACAGAAATGCCTTCCATTTCCTTTTAATAAAGGGTGATAATATTCTTCACCATTAACTATATCACTGGCTTCCATGAGTTATTTCTTATGATGTCCTTCAAAAAAGGCATGTAGGACAAAACTAAGAGGCACGAATAATGAGCTAGACGGTGGCAGTAAGGTGTGCCTGGCTAAAAGTCTGAGCAAGAAGCAAGGGCATTTAGGACATCTAGGAGAACACATGGACGGTGTGCCTTCAGGATGTCTATCTACCCTTAAACTACTTCTCACAGCAAACTTAGCGGAGTGGAGAGCATACAGCAGAATGGCTCCCCCTAGACGGGACATCAGGGCGCAGGCTCAGCCTGACAACCAGTGCACAGAGAGTTATGAAAAAGCCCCTGGAGAACAGAGCACCACACATGTGTACCTCTTGGGGTCCATGCACTCGCTGAGGTTCACCATCCTCGGGCCCATGCCTCCTTTCTGGTTCTTTTCCCAGCCAACCGCTTTGGGACAATCTTAAGGCAAATAAAACACTGAGCTTAATAAAAGAGAGAAGAAGAGAAACAAAGAAGCAGCAAACTTCGAAATAGTCAACATTCACAATGTCCCGTGCAGCAACAAGCTTTCAGTTTGTTTCTTTCTCAAAGAGGTTGCAGGGCCTGGGTCTTCATCTTCCTGCCACAGCTGCCTCCCCATTTCCTCAGCTGCTGGGACGGCTGGGTGCAAGCAGACCTTCCTGCACTCAAGTTCCTGAAACAGTGCTCAACCCGAGCTGAGCCCAACATGCCCCAACTGCTACCGTTATTAGAAGTCTCACTTGCAGCAGAAAGGCTCTCCCCAATCAAGACAAGAAGATGTGACTCAGCACACCTTCCACTGACGCTCCTGTTGGGATCTGAACCTTTGCATACAGGCTGCCCCCTCTCTTCCGCCACCTCACCAGCCCCCCTGCTCAGCTCTCCAGTGTACACCTGTGTGCTTACAGATCACAGACCAATGTGATTCTTCATTCATTCAGAATTTCCCCTTCCCTGATGATCCTTTCTCCCCTGCTCTCTTGCAACTCTTGCTGTGGAGGCCTTTGTGACCTCAGGGCTTGTGGGCTTTGTCTATAGAACTTTGTTATGCAGAACACAGCTATATTAAAAATACTACCATGTGAATACCTTTAGTTCACATGATACAGGAAGAGTCTTCATAAAGTTTTCTTTGCAGCTAAGAGAAACATCATTCATTTACAGAAAAAAAAACAGAAGAAAAAAAATAGCCTTTCCTAAAGTAGGTAATCTATATTCAATAGCAAGCACAAAGATGCTTTAAAGAAATGACTGCACAGCTGGAGACGCACAGCCCCCCAGGTGCTAAGGGCAGATGAGGTGTGAGCCACAGCACTGGCCGGCAACATGGCTAACATGCAAGTCAGTGAGTAGTTTTCATCATGGTGGGCAAGTTCTGGTGGGGGACTTGTAAAAGGGGCTTGGTGGCGGCTAGGAACAGAGACTACCCATGCTTCACTTTAAGTGAACTCTCACTCCATCCCCTAGATAGTCTTTAGGCTGGAGTTTAATAAAATAAATACACGCAGGCTATTTCAGAATGTACCAGAAGAGGGTGCTATATTAAATGCAAATTGCTAAAGCAGCAGAAAAGCAATACATTTCTTTTTTTTTTTTTTGTCGGTCATGGGCCTGAACTCTGGGCACTGTTCTTCAGCTCTCTGGCACAAGACTAGCACTCTACCACTTGAGCCACAGCGCCACTTACGGCTTTTTCTACTTATGTGGTGCTGAGGAATCGAACCCAGGGCCTCATGCATGCAAGGCAAGCGCTCTACCACTGAGCCACCTTCCCAGCACCATGTTGCTTTGATTTACATTGCCTTTATGACCAGGGATGTTGCGCATTCCTCCTGTGTTTATTGGCCATTTTTCTTCCTCTGAGAGGTCTCATTTAACTCCTTTGCCCATTTGTTAATTGGTTTGTGGGGGGGGGGGGCAAAAGTGTTGGCTTCCCTTTTTCTTGTCGGTCATGGGGCCTGAACTCTGGGCCTGGGTGCTGTCCCTCAGCTCTTCAGCTCAAAGCTAGGGCTCTACCACTTGAGCCACAGCGCCACTTCCGGCTTTTTCTGCTTATATGGTGCTCAGGAATCGAACCCAGGGCCTCATGCGTGCAAGGCAAGCACTCTACCACAGAGCCACCTTCCTGGCTCCAAAAGCAATAAATTTCTTAAAAGGCCCTGAACAGAGTGAACAGCTTCCTCTACTTACGACATCAAGGCACAGACACTGATAAAATATTATCCAAGCTTATCCTTGGTCCTTTTGACTTCTGCTCTTTATATTTTTGGTGGTACTAGGATTTGAACCCAGGGCCTACCACTTGATCTACTCTCATAGTTCTACGATGTTATGTGTATACATACACACATATGCACACAATGAAGCATTGTGTGTG